CACGTACTCCCTTAGTGTCACAAATTAAAATGAGTTAGTTGTGGTTAAGTTGGTGGAGAAGAGTTAAGAGAGTGGACGGAGAAGAGTAAGGAAGAATGCAAACAATAGGATTAAACCATCAGAGTATTATTATTATTGCCTTCTTGCTACTCCTAACTAAAAGTTTATCATTCTTTCTTTTATTTGCACAAGAGCAACACGACTCTCTCATGTTGTTTTGAGAGTTAAAAGTTGATTCTTCTTTTCCTCATTCATAAATGGAGTATTTATATTAGGGACGTCAATCGGGCCAGCTCACTCGGTTTCGGGCTAGCCCTGTCGGGTTGTCGGGCTAATCAGTTTATTAATATTTTATTCTCGAGTTCGGTTTGGCCCTAACCCTAAACTTCAGGTTGTCGGGCTAATCGGGCGGGTTGAACCATCTGAACTAGAATTAGAAACTGAAAGTGAGTACCCATATTTAGAGTAGGGATGACAACGGGCGGGGCGGGACGGAATGGGGCGGGGCGGGAAGTATACTCCCCATCTCCGTCCTCAACGAAAAATTAAAAATAGTCCCTATCTACGTTCCCGCGGATAATTTAGCGGGGACGAAAAATTCTGTCATCATCAATTTTTAGTCAAAATATTAGATTAAAGTTAATTTAAATTTTATAAAACTAAAAATTTAAGTTTTAATTTAAATTATATATATATATATATATATATATATATATATATATATATATATATATATATATATTTATTTATTTTAAAGTATAATATTTATTTCATATATGTTAGGTTTCACATCACTTCTATAATAAAGAATAGTTTTCAATAGTTCAGATTGTTGAGCTAGCCCTTTTAATTTCGGGCTAGTCCTATCGGGCATCGGGCTAATCGGTTTCGAGCTTGTCGGGCTAATGTGTTTTATCGGGCTAGCCCGTTCGGACCATAGTCCTGTCGGTTTCTATTTTTTTCGGATTGGCCCATCGGATTCGGGCTAAATTGACATCCCTAATTTATATTACTACCAATACCTATTACAAAGGGGTTGGGTTTAAGTATCATCATAAGCTTAATACATAATTACGGAGTATGATTTAAGTGTAATTACGATATAGAACTTAACTGCTCTCTGTCTCGTCGCAATGAATAGGCATTATTATTCATGTCAATGGTTCGTATCCATTGATTTTTATTTAGGAATAGACTTGTACTATTAAACTACGACTTTATTATCATCCCAATAAAATAGACCTCTTTAATTAGGTCACCAATCTCTAAATTTAGTAATTATTACGGAATATTATTATTATTACAGCAACCTCAAAATTCTCTAAATATAGACTAAATATGACCTGAGCAAAGGCTGCTGACTCGGCCTTGTGTCGCGGCGACAGCTCACGTTTACGGCTCCGCTCCGCTCGGCTCGACTTTACCCCAAAAATCACACTATACGCGTGAAATTCTATTGCGCCTACTTTTATTAATCCCAAATTTAGAAAATATTTAACGTCTGCTCCACTGTTCTAAGGAACGGATCTTTTTACTCTCTGCAAATTTTTGATCATTCATATATATACATAATACTTTACTGTATTTGTATCTGCGTATAGAGATGGCTGGCGGCTACAGTAGAGCTGATGATGACTATGATTACCTCTGCAAGGTGGTGCTCATAGGCGACTCCGGTGTCGGCAAGTCCAATCTGCTCTCGAGATTCACTCGGAACGAGTTTAACCTCGAGTCAAAGTCCACCATTGGCGTCGAGTTCGCCACCCGCAGCATCCGGGTCGACGACAAGGTCGTCAAGGCTCAGATTTGGGACACCGCCGGCCAGGAAAGGTACCGTCTTGTGTTTCTCTCTCTCTTTCTCTACACTCGCTCGCTTGTAATTTTGTAGCTGTGCCGCTGCCGGGGAGTTGAATTTGTGAGATGAGCTGGAAATTTGGGTTTTTGCGGTTTGAATCTAGTGATTGTAAAGCTAGGGTTCTTGTGCATTTGGATTTTGGAATGTTGTAGTAGGTTTGATTATGTTATACGGAGTAATGTTTTATGTTGTTCGATCTGGAAATGGTGATAAATTGATAACTTTGTTAGATTTAGAAGTAGACTGTTTAGGTGGGAATCTTGAATTTCGATGTTGTTTTGGCTATGTACAGTGCCCCCGGTTGATGTCTTGACTTTTGGATGCAAATTCTGTAGTAGTTCATTAAGCTGCAAAATTTTCCACCTTAACACATGTTTTTAAGAAACAACTTATGTGTTTTCTTAACTAAAAGACTGCATTTTTGGAAGGTTTCTGGGTGATACAAATTTTCCACCTTAACAAATGTTTTAAAGAAGCAAGTAACTATGTGTTTTCTTAATTAAAAGATTGCATCTTTGGAAGGTTTCTGAGTGTTAAATTGGATTCCCAAAGAAATTAAGAAACTTAGGTTATTGGGTGGTCATGTTCTGCAGGAATATGATGTTCTTTATACTACTTTTTACATGCCAAAATGTGTAGCAGTGATCTGGTCTTTCCCATCCAAATCCAATGAACAGATTATCTACCAAATGAAGAAAAATTTGCTTGTAGTTTGCTAGTTTTTATGATTTGCCAAATATGCAAGAGACTTCGCCTTTCGATTGTTCTCAGTCTGTAATTTAAGGTCTTTGACTTCTATTCTCAAATTTCCTAAAAATATGTTGTTGCTTTTCTAAAATACTGTCTCAAAATTTGATGTTTTAGTATTCCTTCTATCTCTCAAATGTCCTGAAATTTGTGCTGCTATTCTCTTTAGTTGGTCTTGCTTTTGTTGCCACAATCCTAAAATTTTCATTTGTTTTATCATTAAACATGAACCTGCACTTGGCTTGTAGAAATCATGTCTCATTTTGCAAATCTAATATTATTGAGCTACCAAATACTAGGGTTTCATTACTATATACATGGAGAATGACCAGATTCTTGTCTTTTTTCTGTTTCGATTGGGGCAAAAGGTACCGTGCCATTACAAGTGCATACTACCGAGGGGCTGTTGGTGCATTGCTTGTATATGATGTTACCCGTCATGTCACATTTGAAAACGTTGCTAGATGGTTAAAAGAGCTTAGAGATCACACAGACCAGAACATTGTGATAATGCTGGTGGGAAATAAGGCGGATTTGCGCCACTTGCGCGCTGTTTCAACTGAGGATGCGACGGCCTTTGCTGAAAGGGAGAGCACCTTTTTCATGGAAACATCGGCTCTCGAGTCCCTGAACGTTGAGAACGCCTTCACAGAGGTGCTAACCCAGATATACCATGTGATCAGTCGGAAAGCACTTGAGGTTGGGGATGACCCGGCAGCCTTGCCAAAGGGGCAAACCATAAGCGTGGGAGGGAAGGATGATGTTTCAGCTGTAAAGAAAGTTAATTGCTGCTCTGTCTGAATTTACAGGTCTGCATTATTGCCCTCTAGCTCAAACTCCAAACACTCAGCTACTTCCAGTTAATACATCTGATGTAGTTGCCTTATTATTATGATTATGTTTTTTTGAACTGCTTGTGAAATGTAGTTTTGCACTTCATAGAGAATTGCAGCATAGTCTCAATCCCTTTTGCAGTGGATGATGTCTGCTTAAGCATTTTACTCCATTTGTGTATTGTTTCATTTGTATATCTGCTCATTCACCGCCTCTTTTTCGAGCCTCTGACTAGCTTTATACATTGTGGCAACTATTTTCAACGTGCATTGCATTTGAAACATGGTCTTTTAGTTTGTTTGCATCAATGCCCAAAAACATGCTTCCTATCAACTCTAATACAATGTTGTATCTGTTCAATATACTTTCTCAATCAATTATAGTTCAAAGAGTTAATACTCCATCGTTGTGGTTCGATCCTGTGACATTCCCTCAAGGAGAGTCAAAGAGATTAATAATATAAGTTAATAATAATATAAGTTAATAGAAGAGGGAATGTTCTTTTTGTATTGAGAGAAGAGTACACCACTACATACATTCTAAGAGGTCCTAAACAAGGAAAGAGCTATTCCTATAATCATGCACTCATATTCCTAAATTTGAGTAATCCCTAATTCTATAGAGATTAATCTATTTACACCTCATAATACTTTCTTGTCCAACTTGTTACATAAATAATTAATTTGAGTCTTGTTTATGCCTTTGTGAAAAGCTCTCCAAGTTGTTCTGTCTTGTTATATTTTTTCACGAACAAAATGGTAATCAAGTTCAATGTGTTTGGTTTTTTTATGAAAGACAAGATTGGATGCAATATGATAAGCAACTTGATTTTCATACCATAACTTTGTAGTAATAGGAGTTTTGAACCATGCTTCATTCAGAAAATGATACATCCATATTACCTCAAAATGCAAATTGTGTCGTAATCTTGTATCTTGATTCTACACTTAATTGTGACATAACATTCTATTTTTACTCCTCCATTAAATTAGATTTCCACCATTGAAGACACAATATCCAATCATATATCTTTCATCTTCCTTAGATCCTACTCAATCAACGTATCCTTCAAGGAGGACCATGGTTGGTTGTCTCTTCGGGGACATCCGATAAAATTGGAACAGTACAGGATCATGGCTGGTTAAATTTGGAAAATTGAAGGACTATGGGTGGTTAACTTAGATCACGGATGAAAAAATGTAAAAGTTGAGGGACCACAGATTTAAAAGTTTATGACTAAACGTGATAAAACTAGTCTACTTGGAGGACCCTATATGGCATTAACTCTAATAATAACAATGACAATAGCGCTAATACCATGTAAGTTAATTAAAGAGGAATATGTTTTGTGTATTGAGAGAAAAGAACACACCACCATATATACATACTAAGAGGCCCTAAATAAGGAAAAAAGTATAAATCTATCCCCTATAATCTTAGATTCTATGCAATCAATCTCATAACTGGAAATTGGAAATGGAATACAGTTAAGAATATAATGCAGCATTTATCAAACACATAGCGCAGCATATTCCTAGTCTGTTATCTCCTTTGCACTGTTTCATACAGCTAACTATTCTTCAATGTCTTATAAAACAAAAATCATTGTTCTGTTGTCTGTACAGTTCCGGATGAGAGATTTAAGGCCAGCCCGCCAAAATAGTTTTGAAACAGGTTTGCCTGCTAGATGGCCAAAGTATATACAAAATATAGACATTTTACAGTTTGACAAAATGTTCCCTCTGGATGTAATAAATACTTAGATATACTACTATAAAAGGTAATCTACTTTCAGAAGAAGTCGCACTAATTGTCGAACTTCAATTCACAAATCTTTCTGCTCCGTTGGCATTGCTGTTGATTTGCAGATGGGACAACTGTTCTTCACAACCAGCCACTTCTTTATGCAGTCTACATGATACGCATGGCCACACTCAACTGTTCCAATACTTTCTTGGTCCTTGTAATCATTCTGAAACGAGGGGGAGGGGGAACGTGTTGAAGAGCATCAGAAACAAAAGAAATACAAATACATATAGCCATATAGGAAGAGAGAACTGCTTCATTTCAGAAGCCCAAAATTTTTTTTTATTCGGGTAAAATCTGAACACTAACGAAGTCATATAAGTTCATTCCACTTCAAATCATAATCTTGTTAAGTGCGGGCAAGAGTTGATAAATACCTGGCATATGACACAGAAATCAGTATTTTGATCCGAACATTCTGCACCCTTGGAAACGGGTGATGTTTTTGAGGAGGTGAATGGTTTTGTTTTCAAATGGCTTGTAATGAATTCTTCTGACAACCCAGTAGTTACACTGCCAATCTGCTCACCCAGTGCAAGAAGCTCCTAGAAGATTATCATTCACATTGCTTTGCACAATTAGCCATCCAGAAGTAACACTCTTACACTCATAAACTGATAAAATATATAGCAAGCCCATGCTACAGTTACTCATTTCTTTACCTCATAAGACATGTGATCTATATCCATACGCATATCACTGTGCTGATCAGCAGAATCCCCTATGCCATTGTAGTAGCCAGGAATCTCTAACATGGTCACTCCCTACATAGATTCACCCACGATAATCATTCTCATACTGTGCTTCATTAAGCCAGGCAAATGTGCATGTCTGTGTGTGAGTGTGTGTCAAAAGTATAAGAATAAGACATAGAAACAGCAGACATTACATCTTCTGGCATAAACCTCAGGTTAGGAATATTGCGATGCCAAACGTTATTTGTCTCAACCATGAAGCCTCTACGAAGTGGCCTGTATAGTCTAACACCAGCCGGTACAAACGCTCCCATATAACTAGTACCTGTCTCTACAACACCTGGGAAAGGATTTATGTTACTGCTTAATGGTGGATTTGTTGAGTGTCTGCTTGAAGATGCTGCCATCATTGGAGGGAAATTAATATTATGGCCTCTCATCCCTTGCACAGATTGTGGGTGGTGATGAACATTTGAATGCCCTAGAGGAATGGGAGGATGCATAAAGCTAGTCAAGCTCCCATTGCCCCCTCTTACTTGATAACCTTGTATACCACCCATGTTTCCAGTCTCAATGGGCCCAGCCATACTACCTGTAGTATCCCCAAGAAAAAGTAAAAGAAGGAAGCTATCAGTGTGCACTGCCAATAATTTTAACTTTTGTTATATTGAAATATTAAAATAAAAAGAAACAAAGACAATGCTTAGCAAACAAATAAAATTAAGACAGAACTATAGAAGATCCAAAAATATAGATTTTCAAGAGCAACAGAAATTACCATGCATGTAAGGCAAATGAACAGCCTGATTCCACGACCAAGTTTCACCCTCACCAGTATTATTGTTGAATTGCATGTCTGACCAAGGATTACCACGCAACTGAAAGGCACCCGCATAGTTTCCATGAACAAAATGATTAGTGCCTTGTGCTGCAACAGAATCCGGACCACTTACGAGAGGTCCGTTCCTCACACTTCTCTGGGATACGTCTTCAATAGCTGATGATGAGTCACCATGATCAGGTAGCATAGGTGTGGCATTCATCAAAGAAGCATCAGATTCATGTGCTCTTGCAATCACTGGGGCAACAGAAGAACTAGAACCCACCATAGCATGATGGTAATGCAGATTCTGATGGATTCCTTCAGCACTCTTTATCTTGAATGAGCCTCTGACACCATCCACATAAGGATTGCTTATTCCATGACTAGCTGTCTGAATTCCAACCATGCCATGATTGCTTGAAAATGAGAACTGATCATGCGTTCCATGATTTACTGGAATAAGGAAATCTCTGGTAGCAGACGGTGCAGCCATGTAGGGATCATGATGATTAGAAGATGTAGCAAGAGCTGGGTCAAGATTTGCAGCAGGATGCTGAGGAATAGTTCTATTGTACTGTGTCATCCCATAAAACAAAGTGTTGTTGTGATGTTCCGGCAAAGGATGCAAGAAGCCATTACCAGCATTTCCTGACACTCGTACTGGTAATAGTGAATGGACATTAGGTTGGGGAAAAGCTGTAACATTCCCGTAGGGATGGATTTGTCCTCGCTGATCAGCTTCCAGATCAGTCATCATATGACTATTATTATATGGTGTATTCCTTTGCCCCATGTTGACAAATATAATGCTTTGGATGATGCCTGCTCAGAGAAAAGAATCAATTAGTGGAACAATGTCAACCCACTATTTCTGACAAGGCATCAGCGTAAGGAAATTCATATTTATTCCATATACAGACAATTTACACTAAGTATTATTAAAGGTATATGTGAATGGGCAACAAAAATACAGAAAAAGGAAAGAAAAAGAGAAGATAAGATATTCATGCACCGATAAGGAAAGTACAGAGTTGTATGATTAAGGAATTTTTACGCAGTATGATCACATGAGGAATGGATAAACACAAATGTAGATATATCAAAGAAGAAAAATCCAGGAGTGTTAGCATGGAACATTGGAAGCATTCATGAAGAACAAAAACTACATAATACAAATTATTTGATTCTCCCCTTAAGCATCCTCGCATTTAGGAAACCACAAGAATCGCATCTCAAGATACAACCTCCATTCATGACATGAAATTAATCTATGCTCTCCAAATATCAGGAAATAATAGATTGAGTTGTGTACATTCAGATTTGTGTATGACTATTTGATATGGAAAAACTTTATCAAACATACACAGTACTATATATAATTCTAACTTGTAAACCAAAGAGTTTGTCCAACTAAGCAGGGTTCTGGAGACTGGATCAGGACCTGTAGAGCAGGTTGTCTAGTCAAATCTATCAATGATGATTGTACCTCAATTCTTAAAAGAACAAGACAGTCCAATGGACCTATAATAATTACCACCAATTGAAAGCAGATAACAGGAGAAAAAAAAAAATAGTTCCAAGAAATATCCATTTCACAGCAACTAGAAAGGAATAATCTTAAATCATCAACACATCTGGAAAATTTCTTTGACTTTTAAATTGTTATCGATAGCTTGTTTAAAAAATTAATTCCTTTTAGTTCGCTTGTCAGCAGCGAAATGTAAGGAAAGATGGTAATCAAAATTTTCCAACATGGGTATATCATCGATTTTCATAGCTCTTACAAGCAACTCATGAGGAGGTAATATTTTGGATCAATTTAGATATCATCTTGTTCTCTTTTAATAGGCCATTTTAGAAAAGTTTCATTTTTAATGAGTTCTTGAAAAAACAAAACAGAAGCACAAAAAAAGGCATCTTTGAATATTCGTCATATTCAGAATTCACATGCAACTGAAACAGACGTCAGGACTCAAGAAATGAGAAATGATAAAACAGCTAGATAGGAAAATGAAAAGCGATGGCACAAGGCTGGGGAATTAAAACGTCACCTTTTTACCATCAACAATTGATTGCCCTCCAAGGTATAACCAACTATTTCTCCCCGGCCAGAAACTGAAATAAATTATCCGCAAGCCCCTACATAAATCCCAACAAAAGCAGAAAAAAATCCCTAATTTTATCAGAAAATTATGATCAATGATCATCAAAACTGCAATCCAAGAAATACTCAGAAAAGCTACTCCATTTGAAACCCTAATGCATGCATTTTCACAGGGATAAACACATACATATACAGTTACAACATACACATGTCTGCATAATCATAAATGTAAAATTCAGGAAAACAACTCTAGAAAAAAACGCAATCATTTCTAGAAATGGTTTAGAAAGGAAGAAAAACTAACCAAATTGAGGTTGATCAGATGAAGAGACCCCAGAAAGGCAAGCAGGGAGAAAAATCTCTCCAAAAATTTTGTAGAGAGAGAAGGAAGAGAGATAGAGCGAAAGGTTAAATGAAAAATAACCTGTAAAAATGGAGCTTTTGCAAATGCTCTATTTTATTTCTTTCTTTTAATTTTATCCTCAACTGCTACGTGGCAGTTTTGCTTACGTCATTAAGGTCCAATACTTGGATTGTTTAATTTCCGGATAAACCCTTATTAGATTAGGCACTAATGGTATGTTGACTCAAAATATTTTACTGTTTCCAATATAATCTTCTCTTTTGAGTTTTGAAACTCTTATTTTGAAACTAGTTTTATATTTGAAAAAAGTTTTTAATTTTTCACTGACCATTCATCACAAATAACTTAATGACCACCTGTTTCTAATATTTCACTTAATGGCGCTTAATCACCACCTAACTTCTAACATGTGCTTGATTACCACCTAACTGTTAAAATTTCACTTAATAACGCTCTATCACCACATAACTTCTAACTTTCAACATTCAACTAACAACTAATATTTTACTATTTTCTCACACATATATATCAGATAGCCTTTAAAAGAAAATCGTAACTGACACTAAAAAATAAACGTTACGACGTTACATTCAAAACTTATATTTATTAGTATGACGAATAGTCAAAGATGCCATGTGAGCTGATCAATTTCATTACCAATTATCTTATCGAAGCAACTTTAATGATTACAGATAACGTTACGTTATTCATTGTAACAGAAATTTACGTTATAAAATATTGATTTTTTAGTATCTTTTATTCACATTTTAGAAATAAATGGAGAGATATAATCTCATCTCCTCAAATAATACGGTGTGGATATACAACTTATCTACTTTTGAATATTTCATGGTGTCTGAAGATTAAATTATTTAATTTAAATGCATGTTCATGAATGCCATTAGCATGTTCAATCATTAGTTCTTTTCTCTTTTTTAATAATTTTTATTAGTTTTGTTTTTATCGACTTATTATTAATTATCAATAGGCAGAATGGGACCAATGAGCCATTCTTGTCTATTATTTCAAGAAACCGTGTAATTAAGAATCATGTTGCAAATAATTTACTTAAATAAATACGGACAATATTTTTATAACTGGATACTATTTTATTAATTAAATATTTTATGATAGGTATTTTATGTCATTTTATATCACTTTGTTTAATTAACTTGTGTTGAGATCATTTAATCTCACAAATAATCAATAATTAATAATAATTATCACATCTATATATCACAAATAATATTGATTTGATGAAAAGTGTTACAATGTTAAATCACATATTGCCAATTATTATAAATATATAAAGGTGTACGTGGTGACGTTTTTATAAATAACTATATATATAATTATGTTTATAAAAATGCCACTAGTAAACATGGTGCTTTGTAAAATTCATCTTGAAAGCATGCACTAGGTAAACCTTATTCATGTTAAGCGATAAGTTCGACTAAAATGATGTTGGTAAGAATCCAACTCATGACATTCAAGTTCAAAAATTATGTTTTACTTACTCGACTACCTCTTTCAAGACGAGTTCATTTTTTAAACCTTATGCAACAATAAAACATTAGACCTTAAGTGATTGTTAAATAGTGATTTTTTAAAATAATATTTTATTTTAAAACCATTCAATATAATATTTAATACAAGAAATTAAATTGTAATATTGGTCCTTTTTTTTTTTTTTGGAAGATACTATGAAGACTTTATGTGATGACATGGGTTCAACCAAGAAGGTGTTGCCAATAATCGAATTTATAATCTTTAGGCATGAGAGTAAGGTTCCACCCCACTTGACCACCAATTTCAAGGATTGATATTAGCTCCCTTGATTAGCAATTATATTTTGGGTATGTGAAATGAGAATTTTTTTTTTAATTTTTTTTTTTTGTGTCTATACAACTTAATTGATCAAAAGAGTCCAATGCATCCCAACTAGGCAGGTGTATAACTTGATTGACCCACCAAACTCGACCAACTCAAACTTAGAAAGATGACATAAGCTGAATATTCGATCGATCATATAATGGGTGGTTTTTGTCCAAAATGAGAGCGAGTTGATATAAGGTTTTGTCATTTGTGTGTGTATGTGTGTGTGGTCAATTTTATAATTATTGTAAATTTTCAAGTTTTAATATTTATAAAACTAACATTCTCAAATGGATTGATCAAATTTTGCAACAATCATCAATAGTTGATCTACTCAAATGGATTGATCATATCAATCCTTACATGTTTACTTGAGCGCGCGCGCGCACACACACATTAAAATAAGTAAATACTTAGTACAATTTTTAAATATCAACGTTAATTAATACGGAGTATAAAATAAAAAATGATTATTCTCAATATAATTCAAATGAGTATTTTTCAATTTGTAATAAAAATAGTAGTAAATATGAGTATTATTGTAGATAATTATAATCAAGAATAAAAATTATGTCATAATAATTTTCATATTAAAATAAATTAAGTATCCTTTAATCCGATATTGATGAGTCAGTAAAAAAATAACTTTTTCTTTTTTTTTTTTTTTGTTAAAAGTGACATGATTATAATAGGCTTATTGATGTAGTCGAAGAGTAATTAAAGAGTTGTGCAATAAAGTTATAATATACAATTCCATAAGTTTTCCATGTGTATATCATTTGACCTCAATTGTCGTTATATGACATTTCTCCATCTCAACTATCAATTCTCTCTTAGTATCTCAAAGTGTGAGTGGAAGTTTGGCCTAGCCCTTACTTTTGTAACTCACTCAGTTGTTGTATAGCCTAAAAGACTCTAAAAGTGGTGAAGTGATGAATTGGTGATTATTGTGAACAACGAACTAGTAGAAGCCCCAAACTTCATGTTTTCAAGTCTTCAACTTCGACTATAGAGATAAGCTCATAAAGTATATTGTTAACCATCTCTTTTACTTGTTATTACTTCATTTAAACTCAGATTGTGTAAGTCAATGTCGTGTAATAGTGTCTCCAATTTCTGTTTTATTAGTGTGTCCAGAATCAAAATGATTTTTTGTTGCCCTATTTTGCCATATATGATTTTTGGTCTTAGCTTCTCAATATGTTTTCTGTTCTTCTGTATTTTCGTTTTCAATGTGAACTCTAATTTATATTTTGGTTTATAAGTATATTGTATATACTTTAATATTTATATTGTGATTGTGATTTGTTGGTTTTGTCTATTGGAAGCTCGAAGCTATTTGTCCCATTTATTGGTGTGGCCAAAATGGTCAAAATGCTATTGTCTCGTTTTCTGAAAGTGTGGTTGTGTATAAGTTTATAATATATATTTTAAATTGCTTTTAAAATTCAAGTCTAAAGATGTAAAGTAGTCACTTCTTACATTTCAACATGTGTCTAATAATACTGCAACTAACAATAATAAAAGAGTGCAAATATTTGGTTCTTTATATGTCACTGTTAATAACCTCTGCTTTGAAATTTTTTATTTTTCATGCATTCTTTCTGATATGGTGGAAGCTAATTCTTTTTGAATATTACAAAAATAATTTTGAAAATCAAGCACAACAATGAAAGGGTACATGTTAACAAGTTCGAGTCGTGTGACACTCACATTTTTTAAAAAACTTTATTTGATACCTCTCAATGTATTAGGAGCGTTATAGCTTAGATTTCTTAAGATTATAACGAATTTCAACTCAAATTGCTATTAATATTTTACCAGTCTCAGCACTATAAAAAAATACACATGTTTCCTTTAAAGGAAGACGTTATCTAATCGGGCAACTTTAGTTCGTAGGAACCGTTCTAGGGTCACCATGCTTAAAGTTAACGGTGAGTGGACTTCCGATCCCACTATCATCAAAGAGCATATTACTAATTATTTTAAATGTCTTTTTGTCAGGAACCAAAATACAATTAGGGAAACCCCTACTCTTTCAGGTGGGCGAAGTATCAGCATTAGCCAGGGGCAAAACTTGATCCGGCATGCTACATGGGACGAAGTCCGCTACGCTGTCTTCGGCATGAAACGTTTTGGGAGCCCGGGGCCGGATGGGATCCAAGCGGCTTTCTACCGACATTACTGGGATATAGTTGGCGACTCGGTTACAAATTTTGTTAACAATTGCCTCATTTCAGGTACCGTCCCTACTAGAATGCTCGAAGCCTACATGACTCTGGTTCCCAAGAAAGACAATCCTGAAAATGCGGGAGACTTCAGGCCGATCACTCTACTCAATGTGATTTTCAAGATTGTCTCCAAAGTCCTTGTCAACCGGCTCAGACCTGTCATGAAAAAAATGGTGGGACCGTTCCAAAATAGCTTTCTCCCGGGGAGATCTACTCTTGACAATGTTGTTATGACTCAAGAGGTTATCCATAATATGTCTAAGGCCAAGGGCAAGAAGGGCTTCATGGTACTCAAATTGGATATCCACAAAGCCTACGACAGTCTCGACTGGGGATTCCTTGAGTCGGTCCTTGGTAAGTTTAACTTCCCCAACCGCCTGATCTCCCTGATTATGTTCTCCCTCAAAGAAAGTTCCATATCTATCAATTGGAACGGGGGTAAGCTTCCTGCTTTTGGGGTGGGTAGAGGGGTAAGACAAGGTGACCCTTTGGCCTCCTATCTGTTCATTCTTGCCATGGAAACCCTTTCTTGGGCTATCCAAGAGGAGGTCAATTCTGGACGGTGGAAACCTTACAAAGTGGCGCGTGGGGGCTCAAACGTCTCCCATCTTTTCTTCGTCGACGATCTTATCCTTTTCGGTGAAGCTTCTGAACAACAACTTAGAATCATTCTTTCGGTGATCGATACTTTCTCTCGTCAAGCAGGTTTGTCTATCAACCTTAATAAATCTATTATTTATTGCTCCCCTAACACTTGTGATAGGGTCAAGCGGCGTTTAGGTGAGGTCGCGGGGATCCCGGTATCCGACAACATGGGAAAATATTTGGGTATCCCTATCTTACAGAAAAGAGTTACAAAAGACACTTTCGGTTATATTCTTGAAAAGATGAAGAAGAGACTATCGGGTTGGAAGCGGGACTCCCTTAGCCTTGCGGGGAGAAGGATATTGACGCAATCAGCCTTAGCATCCATCCCAGTATATTCTATGCAAGCTCTGGCCCTCCCAAAAAAACACTTGCGATAGCATTGATAAAATTTGTAGGGACTTCTTGTGGGGGGACACGCAGGGAAAAAATAAGATCCACTTGGTAATCTGGAACGAAGTGTGCCAACCACGTGAATCAGGAGGGCTCGGTCTTCGGAAAGCAAGCCATTTCAATGAAGCCCTTCTCACTAAGCTCGCCTGGCAGATGTGTGGTAAGTCCGACAAACTCTGGATTCAAGTTATGAGAGACAAGTACGTCAAGAATGGTGATTTCTTCTCTGCCTCGGTCCCTGGTAACCCATCGTGGGCTTGGAAAAGCATAATCAAGGGGAGAAATACGGTCATCAACAATGCTGCTTGGATAGTTGGTGATGGCCGATCGATTAATCTTTGGAAGGACTGGTGGGTAGGGAGCAAGCCACTCGGCCTTGATCAAAACATCGAAATCCCGGAGGAACTTGGTTCCAGCATGGTAAGTGACTTCATCCTACAAAATAGAAGCTGGGATCTCCCCAAGCTACAAGAGATCCTCCCAGATTATATTATCGACAACATTCGTGCTATTCCAATTCCTCTTGATGATCGAAGACAAGACTCCATGGGGTGGACAAACGGCGAATCCGGTAAGTTCTCGACGAAATCTGCCTATGCTTGTGTTGCAGGAATTGACGAGGACAACATGGACTGGTCTTGGCTGTGGAAGCTGAGGTGCTGGGAGAAAATTAAAGTCTTCCTCTGGCTCATCCTCAAAGGACGGTTGCTCACCAATGCGGAACGCTTTAGGAGGCACCTAGCTGATTCCAACTTGTGCTCATATTGCGGCTTAGCGGAAGAGTCTATCAAACATCTTTTTTGGGAATGCAGCACTGCTCGGACAACGTGGTATCTCTCGGAGACACCCGCAAACTTTGGTTTCCCAATTCACTGGACTGTAGAACATTGGATCAAAACTAACTGCTCCAACCAGCAGAATAGCAGTTGGCCCTCTCGTTTTGTGTTCACCCTTTGGGCGATTTGGAATAACAGAAACACGTGGGTTTTTCGGCAACAGTTGTCCAATCCCCTTGCAACCGTTCAAAAAGTTAATTACCAGGTTAAGGAGCTGCTGGATTTATCAAATAAAGGGGAAGTGATCAAAGCACGGGCAGACTGGGTCCAATGGTTTCCACCGCCTCACGGCTGGTTCAAACTTAATACGGATGGAGCTTTTAAACGTAACTCGGGGCTTGGATCCGCGGGCGGACTAGTGCGGGATAACTTGGGGGATCTTGTTTGGGGTTTCACCACAAATATTGGTAAAGTCAATAGCTTCGTGGCAGAGCTGTGGGGCCTAAGGGAGGGTCTACGGCTCTGTCTCGAGAAGGGGTTTCGTCGGGTTATGATCGAGATGGATTCTAAAGCCATTATTGACCTCCTCCATGATGACAGGGACACGGATGACAATATGAGTGCTCTATTTCATGACTGTCTGGCCTTGGTGCCTGAGTTTGAAGGGATCTCCTTCAACCATATCTTCAGAGAAGCTAACACTTGCGCAGACTTTTTGGCCAACCTCGCCCAAACTAAGGATTGGGGCACTTGAGTATTCACAGAACCCATGGAAGATCTCATCCCTCTTCTTGCTCGTGATGCGGGAAGGGCCAGCTCCCGTAGAATCTCTTAATCTGAGGCTTAGCCTCTCTTTCCTCACCAAAAAAAAAGAGTAGGTCTTCAATTTATGGACATTAGTTAGTGATTATAATGTTTAAACCTAATTTAGTAACTTTTTTTTTTCCTATGTAAGAGTTTTTGGAATGTTTAGTTTTATGAATTAATTGTTTGTTATACTTGGAAAACAAACAATAAAGTCATATCAACACAAAATGTTCCTCAAAAAAAAAAAAAAAAAAAAATCAACACAAAATGTGGTAGCTCCAGTTTCCATGCAACATTATGACAATTATACCTAAAATTTTAAATTTGTTAAATTAATATTAATATGTTTATAAGATCATATTATATTATACTATTCGATTCTTAAACAATCTTACCATAACTTAATCTAATTAAATTTATGGACATTAGTCGATGATTTAATGTTTAAACCTAATTTAGTATTTTTTTTTCTTTGAATTTTTGGAATGTTTAGTTATAAAAAATCACATAAACTAAAAATGCAATATATTGACACAAAATATGGTAGCTCGGTAGCTCCAGTTTCTGTGTACAGACTACAGAGTAACATTGTGACAATTGTATCTTTATTTTTTAATTTGTCAAATTCATATTAATATTTTTACCAGTCTTATAAAAACCATATTCAAACCTAATTTAATATTTTTTTTTTCTATATGAGGATTTTTGGAATGTTTATTTATATGAATGTTTAGTAAAAAATCACATAAACTAAGAATGCAACATATCAACATCAAATAGAATTTGATATATTATGTTAAAAATATATATATAGAAATTTGATATTCATTATCATTCGGATAAAAAAGTAACTTTGAATTTATTGAACATAAGATAATTGTTACAAACTATAAATGTTTAAAAATAAATTACTAAAATGAACATGTATGAATATAATTATCACAAAATACTTTGGGGTGTTTGGCAAATAGATGTTAGTTGATAGCTAATTGAGTTAGTGGTTAGTTGTAAGTTGATTGTATTAGCTGGCTATAAAAGATGTTTTGTAAAATTACCTATTAGCTAATAACTTATGACATATTTCCTCTGTCCCATTTTATTTGTCTAACTTCCTATTCATGAGTCAAACCAACTTTTTCTTCTTTTGTTTATTTTCTTTAGTATGTTTTACTTGTTTTTAAATTTAATTTTTCCTATTTAATAGTACTTTTAGTGTAGTTTCTAAATATATAAATTTTGTATACTAATACTAAACTTAATGTTGTGAAAAATTGGATTAAAAATTACTTCAGTCAAGTCTCGTTAACCGAATCAGACATATAAAATGGGATGGAGGGAGCATAAAATAACCTTCAAAGGTATGAGCGTATTGTGTTTGTTGTTAGCTGATAGCTAATCGAGTTAGCGGTTAGTTGTAATAACTTTTTACTTCATAGTAATTAAAATATTGTCCCTAATCTAATTTATGCTATTAAAAATTGAAAACTTGTGACTTAATATCTAAAATCGCATATCTTCCTGACCCGGGAAGGATATCAATTAATTGGGCCCATAATGAAAACTTACGGCAAAAGGCTGAAAGCCCATATACCCGTTATGCTGTAGAAGAAACTGGAAAGCAGTCAAAGCACTATAAATACTGGGTCACGTCCACAATTTAGCCGTAGAGGTGCACTTTGTCCCCTGCAGTGGTGAATTGTCTGTAATTTGAGGTACGTCTCGTAATCTGTTCTAACTTTTTGCTTTTCTTTGTTAATTTTATGCGTATGGAAGTTCATATCCGAATGGCATGTTAGCTTTCTTCTTCTATGGTTTTTTTTTTTTTTTTTTTTCTCAGAAAAACGCAAATGAACAGAGACTAGTTTTTTGTTTTTCCTAAAATCGCTGTAAATGCAGCTGTTTTGTGTGTGTTTCAATGCTCCCTTTCGATAAAAGCGTCTTTCTTCTTCTATGGTTTAGGGTTTGTAGAATTTGAGTGGTTTTTGCTATGAACTGAGGCTTAATAAAAAGTTTCTTCTGACATGAGGCTTTCTGAAGTAATGGTGGTTAATTTTTCACATGTTAAAAATTTGGCATCATTTGACGAAATCCACAATTCAGTACCCTGTTTAGTTCATAGAGCTCATACGCTGTATTCTGTAGTTTGAAGTTCGGTGATACCACCATACCAGTCCTAAACATAGAGGTAAAATTTATAAAATGATTTATGTTGGTGATGGATTTAATTCCCCGGGGTAGCCCGAATTATTAAACCCGGATAAGTATACGTACGAAATAAATAATACGACGCAGAGGTATAATAAGGTCGCGGGGACCGTATATTGTATTAATTATCGCTAATAAGCTATTACAAGGCTTGATTAGGACAATAAGGCTAAAAGATAGCAATTCAGGAATCTATTGTGTTGTGTGTCCTGTCATTCTTTAGGACAAGAGGGAGTCCTTTTATATCAGCTCAAACCCCCTAACCGCACCCCTAGGATCGGGGTTAGTTGGATCGGCCCGCTTTGACCGCGTCCTCTCCGGGACCGGGTCCAAGGCAGGCCGACTCGGCACGGCCGAGCTGGGCAAGTGCCGAGCTCGGCCTAGCCGAGTCCACCATGGACCGACTCGGCAGTGGCCGAGTCCATGGTGATGGGCTCGGGTGTACCGAGCCCATCTGTGGCCGACTCGGCCCAAGGCCGAGATGCCTTGGGCCGACTCGGCCACGGCCCAATTGACTGGGCCGAGGGGCTTCTCGGGTCCGTCTCTCCGGGTCGGTTCGATCTAGGTCTAATATATCCATCACGAGTCCCCCACTCTCTTCGTTGTGATAAGTCGACAACGATAGAGAGTAGACACCTTGCGAGCCGACTCCTGCGCGATTGTCCCGAGTCGAAAATAGGCCGACCCCGTCCGGATAAAATCTTCGTTGCAGATAGAATTTTCTTTCCGAAAAATCCTCCTTAGATATGGTAGAATCCCACTCAAAATGCAACTCCTTCCCTATAAAATCTTGAGAATCCCCATTATTATTCCCATCAAATCTACTTCCCATCCCCATCAACTTTTCCTTTTCCCAATGCACCTTTCCAATTTTTGAATTTTGGTCAACTCTCCCACTTCCCCCTCTTTTCCACCATCCATCCCCTATAAAACCCCCCTTTTCTCCCCATTTTCGGCCATCCCTCTCCCACAACACTCAAAAAATCTCTCAAGCTCCTCCTAGAGTCACAAGCTCTTCTCTGGGTCTCTAAGTTTCGTCCCGAGTTCGGTTAGTCGTTTCTTCTCCCCTTTTTCCTTCCTAGCGCCGAAATACATCCGTTGCACATTTTTTTTTGACTCGGCCGAGAGCACTAGGTGCGCATCTTTGCACACCCTTGTCTTCTTTGCATGTCTATTAGCTTTGATTTCGGGGTTCTTGACTCCATAGACGAGAGTGAAATTGATATGGGCGACCCCAACTCTCCGAATGGCTCGATCCCTCTAGAGGACGAGCTTCCACACCTCCCCGAGGGGTCCAAGTCCCTCGGGGACGACTCGGTCGCCACGGGCCCACTTGAGGCCGAGGTCGGGTATACCGACCTCGACCCGCGCGTCCCGGCCACCACCTTGGCCCGCATCTTCCCTTATCAACACGAGAAGGCCTTACAACTAGTGGGGCCGGGTGTCGAGGTGTTGGCACCTTCGCCGGATTATAATGTGACCGTCCCGCCTCGAGCCGGCTTCTTTGGTGTGCACGTCGCTTCTCTTTCATACGGGTTGCGTTTTCCACTCCACCCCTTTGTCGTGTCTCTCCTCAACTACTACGAGATTGCCCCGGGACAATTAGTCCCGAACTCGCATTGTGTACTCTTGGCTTTCCTCCTTAGATGTAGAGAGGTGCGGGTCATGCCTTACCTTGACCTCTTCAATTATCTTTTCCAAGCCACCAATTCCACGGGTCGTTCTAGTAGGGGTTAGGTGTCCTTTTCGGCTCGTGCCCGTATGAAAACCTTCCAAGACCTCAACTCCTCTAACCATAAATGGAAACCCAAGTTTGTGTATGTCTCCGTGGGCCCCGACTTTCCCTTCATATCACCTTGGAGTCCCCGGTTCCGGAAGCATGTTACCCCTAGGAAAGGAGCCGCCTTGCTAGAAGACGTCCGTATTTTCCGATGAGGTGGCCCGATCATCTACATCACCCCGATGGTGACCGAGGAGAGCCTGGCGGGTTTGGGCTTTGCCCGGGGTGCCCCGCTTCCTCCCCCTCTGTCGGGTCCCCCTGCAGATGAGCCCGAGCCTATTGCTGTGGACTCGCCCTCCGGAGGTGAGAACTCGGATGACATGGTCTTCGAGTTTTTGCCGCGGGATCGGGACGAATCCCCCAGCTCGGTCTCGGCGGGGCCGACTCCTGCTCCTGAGGTCCTGCCTGAGTCCGAGCTCGAGCTTACCATGGCTACGCCGAGAGGTTGGTCCTCCTCCCTCTGAGCTATTCCCGTGTTCTTGCGACATCCCCTTATATTTTGCTCGTATTTTGACTGGTGGTCTGCAGGAGATATTCCCTTGATGGGTGATCGGGCTGCAGGAGACGTTCCCTTGATGGGTGATCGGGTTGCGAGATACCGAGAGAGGGATCGAGAGCGGAAGCGCCACAGAGCTGCTGAGGGGAGTGAGGCCTCGATGCGTCTTCGTACTACTGGGCCGGCGATCCCACCTCGTCCTATTAGGCCAGTGGCTCCACCGCCTCCACCCCCCCGCCCCAACGCGGGCACCTCTTGTTCCTCCGCGCCAGCCAGGACTGGGCGATCTCCCGCGCCTCCGTACGCTGCTCCAGGACTTGGTTACTTCTCGAGGATCGGCTGTCGCTGATGAGGGGGCCATGTATAACCATCTGATAGAGGTGAGTCCGTTTTTGGTGTCAGAAAGACTTTGTGGTTCCCATGTTATCTCTAACTTGTATTTTCTCCTTTGTGGATTGACAGGTTGTTCTCCACTGCACTTCCCTTTGTGGAAGCCATGAGGCGCTCCGGGCGCGCACTGGGACTCTTGAGGGACGGGTCGCCGAGCTCACCCAGCTGTTGGGCCAGGAGAGGGAAGGGCGCCGAGTCGATGTGGACAGGCTGAGAGAGGAGATGGGCCACGTGGTGCCGGCTTATCAGAGGTCCCACCAGTTTACTCTAGATGCTATGTCGTATGCCCGGGGCCGTCGGCAAGAGCTCATAGACGAGTGGCTTGCTTCGGAGGAGGGGAGGACTCGCCTTGAGGACGAGGAGATGGCTGCGTATGATGTGGGGCTGTACACGATGCAGCAGGACATATATGCGGTCTTGAGGCGACAGGACCCTACTTTTGACCCCGTGGTGAGGGGCTTGCCAGGTTATCTTCCCTTACCCGAGGGCTCTGCAGCCGGTTCTTCTGCTGGGGCGGATACTCCTGCCCGTGCTGTTGGTGGAGGTGTGGTTTCTAGTTGCGCGGATGCATTGGGGAGGTTGGATGCCTTGCTCGTGAGCCAGGCCCCTCTTGCGGGTTCCGTTTCTCCCTCCACGGAGACCATCCATGCCGGCTTGGGTGCTTATGTTCCGGGGCTCGGGGCTGATACGGGACTCGGCCGTAGCCGAGACCCTCGTGGCCGAGTTGTCAGGACTCGGCCGTGGCCGAGTTGCTAGGACTCGGTCGTGGCCGAGTCGTTGGCAACTCGGCCGCGTCCGAGTCCAGAATTTATTATTTTTTTTTTTAGCCGTTCGAACCGAGTTCTTTGAACATTAGGCCTGGGGGCTCTTCCGTCGGGGTTGGTACGCGAGGTTGGACCTCGTGCCCCCTTAGGGTATGTTAGCCACGATAGTCGAGTCCTTGTTGGACTAGACCCTGGGGCTCCTACGTCGGGGTTGGTACGCGAGGTCGGACCTCGTGCCCCCTTAGGGTATGTTAGCCACGATAGTCGAGTCGTTGTTGGACTAGACCCTGGGGCTCCTCCGTCGGGGTTGGTACGCGAGGTCGGACCTCGTGCCCCCTTAGGGTACGTTTGGGGAAGTCCGGTACAAAACCTCCTTCATTCGCGATGGGTGAACAAGAAAAGGTGTTTCTTATTACATAACTTCATTCTGTTCATAGCAACGGAGGGGGCCTGCCGCCTCCTATGACATTATTTGCAAAACATTAATGGAGATGGCACTAACTCCGTATGGTCGAGCTGGTCTGCGGTGGATCACTGGTAATACCTCAACAAATGCTCCGAGTTCCAAACTCTAGGTATCTCCTTCCCTTTGGGGTTCTTGAGCTTGTAGCTGCCGGGACGGACCACCGCTGCCACAATGTAGGGGCCTTCCCAGTTTGCCGCGAACTTCCCTCCGGCTTGGGGTTGGCTTGCTTCTCTCCTTCGGAGTACATAGTTCCCTACTTGGAAATAACGGGGTTGCACTCGTTTGTCGTGGTAGGACTTGGTTTGCCGCTGGTAGTTTTCAGCTCGGATAGAAGCTGTCTCTCTTCTATCATCTATCATGTGGAGGTCGGCGCTATGGTGTTCTTCGTTGGTGTCGGGGTCATATTCTTCTTCTCGCCAGGAAGGTATGACCGCCTCCGCGGGGGCTCGGGCTTCAAAACCGTAAGCTAACGAAAACGGTGTCTCCCCGGTGGCCCTTCTGGGGGTGGTGCGGTAGGCCCATAAGATGGCATCGAGCTCCTCCACCAAGGCTCCCCCTGCGGATTCAAGTTTCTTCTTCAAACCGGTTACTATAGTGCGGTTGGCATTCTCCACCTGCCCATTGGCTTGTGGATAGCAAACGGCTACTCGACTATGGTTGATGCGCCACTCGCCGCAGAAACTCTCGAACTCTTGCCCTTCGAATTGGCGCCCGTTGTCAGTGATGAGTTGCATCGGGACCCCAAATCGACACAAAATGTCTTGGTAGACAAACTGTTTGCACCGGGCACTTGTGATGCTTGCCAGCGGCTTTGCCTCTACCCATTTGGTAAAGTAGTCGACAGCCACTATGAGGTACTTTCTTTTGCCCGACCCCATAGGCAGGGCCCCTACTATGTCCACCCCCCACCTGGAGAAGGGGATGACCGAGCTGATCGGGGTGTAGTTCGTGGCGGGTCGGCCGGGGCCGACCTGAAAGTGCTGGCATGTCTCGCAACTCCTTACGTAGTCGGCACACTCTTTGGCCATTCTCGGCCAAAAGTACCCCTGCAAGATGGCTCGACGGGCCATGGTGAAGGCGCCCTGGTGGGCGGAGCAGGTCCCTTCGTGGATTTCTTTCATGACCGACCTGGCTTCGTCTGGGTACAAACAGCGGAGTAGGGCGCCATTTTACGACCTCTTATAGAGCGTGTCCCCCATGATGACATATGTGGGGGCACGCCACTTCACTAGCTTGGCATCAACATCATCAGGAGGTAGCGTACCTGTCTGTTTGTACTCCTTGAGGTGGTCCAACCAATAGGGGGGTCGACTCTGTATGGGTAGGACTGGGTAGAATTCCAGACTCGACCTCTCGAAGTCTTTGACTCGGGCACTTTTTGAGATGTGCTCCGGGGCCCCCTGGCTGAGCTTAGACAACATGTCGGCATCCGTGTTTTGGACTCGGTGTACCTGTAGGACTTCATAGTTTATTAGCTGGCCCAGGAGCTGGAGCACCACATCCCAGTACCTCCTCATCCTCTCGTCACTTGCCTCGAACTCTCCTGTGACTTGGCCCACTACCAGCCTAGAGTCACATCGGATCTTGAGCTTCTCGACCCTCATGTTTAGTGCCAGTCAGAGCCCTCCGAGGAGCGCCTCGTACTCGGCTTCGTTGTTGGACAGCTTGAAGGCAAAACGGAGGGCGTAGTAGGCTCTGAACCCCTCAGGTGTGATGAGGACGACCCCACCCCCGCAGCCTTTTGGTCCCGAAGCTCCGTCTGTGGACAGAGTCCACCACTCCTCGTCTTCATCTCGGGCCTGCCCGGCGGCTTCCCGGGCAGTGCACTCGACTATGAAGTCGGCTAGTGCCTGCCCCTTGATGGCTGGGCGGGTCCGAAATTGTATGTCGTACTGGCTGAGCCGCATGGCCCATTTGACCAACCTGCTGGCCGACCCCGAAGCCCTCAACACCACATCTAGGGGCTGGTTGGTAAGGACGTGAACGGGGTGGGCCTGAAAATAGTGGCCGAGCTTCTTTGTGGTGATGTCAACCGCAAATATGGCTTTCTCGACGGGCGTGTACCTGATCTCCGCTCCCTGTAGAGCTCGGCTCGTGTAGTACACGGGCTGTTGGACCCCGTCATCGTCCCGGACCAGCACAGAGCTGACCGCGGCCTGGGAGATGCCGAGGTACAAGTATAAGACCTCCCCCTTAACGGGCTTGGCTAGTGGGGGGAGCGACATCAGATATGTCTTGAGATCCTCGAAAGCCTTTTGGCACTCCGGAGACCACTCGAACCCCTTGGTATTCTTGAGTACCCCAAAGAATGGTAGAGATCTTTCGGCCGACCACGAGAGGAAACGACCGAGGGCTGCTAGTCGCTCATTGAGGCGCTGGACTTCCCGGTGACACCGTGGGGACTCCATGTCCAGGATAGCTTTTACCTTGTCCGAGTTGGGCTCTATGCCCTTCTTGGAAACCATGTAACCCAAGAACTTCCCCCCGTGGACCTCGAAGGTGCACTTCTTGGGGTTAAGACGCAGGTTGAAACGTTGCATAATTGAAAATACCTCAGCTAGGTCGTCCGTGTGCAGATTGGACTCGGTGCTCTTCACGATCATGTCGTCGACATAAGCCTGCAGGTTGCGGCCGATGACTTGTTTGAAAACCTTGGCTACCATCCGGGTGTAGGTAGCACCTGAGTTCTTTAACCCGAAGGCCATGACCTTGTAACAGTAAACCCCTTCTAGAGTGGTGAAAGCCGTCTTCTCTTCGTCGGCCTCCTCCATGAAGATCTGGTAGTACCCCCTGAATGCGTCCAGGAAGCTCATGATGGCACATCCCGCTGTCTCGTCCACCAGCTGGTCAATGTTTGGGAGCGGGAAGGGGTCCATGGGGCAAGCCTTGTTGAGGTCGGTGTAGTCCACGCACATCCTCCAGGTGGGCGACTTCGGGGCGAGGACCACATTTGCCAACCAGGTGGGGTATGTGACCTCTCTGATGTGACCTATCTCCAAGAGGGTGTCGACCTCTTTTTTCACGAATTCTCTCCTGTCTGTGGAGAGGTACCTCTTCCACTGCTGGACTGGCTTGACCGAGGGGTCCACAGCCAGCTTGTGTGTGATCACCTCGCGGCTGAGGCCCGGCATGTCTTCGGGGCCCCATGCGAAGATCTCCTTGTAACTCCGGATCGTGTCGATGATGCGAGCCCGGAGCTCGTCCGGGAGGCCGACCCCAACCTTTACGACCCGGTCGGGTCGGTTGAGATCCAGGACGACTTCCTCCTACTCAACTATGGGCTCGGCCCGAGGCCGACCCATCTCGTCTCGCAATGCCTTCTCGGCTATGGTGTGGACCCGGAGGTCCTTCTTGTCCATCTGGCGGCACGCTCGTAGGTAACAGCTGCGACTCACTCTCTGGTCCCCCCGGCGGTCCCGAGCCCGCTCGGCGTTGGGAATTTGAGACACAGGTGCTCCATAGAAATCACGCACCTGAGGTCCTCCAGGGCAGGTCGACCAAGTATCATCTTGTGGGCGCAGCTGATTTTGACAACTACGAACTCGACCCTCCACTTCTTGAGGTGAGGTGAGGTGCCTATCTCAACATCCAGGCTAATTGATCCCTCTATTTCGATCGAGTCCCCCGTGAACCCAGATAGGGGGGTCCTAACCTGCTCCAGCTGGTCCCTTGGGAGACCGAGTTAGGCGAATGTGTCGTAGTACATGACATTTACCGAGCTGCCCGTGTCTACGAGCACTCGGTGCACCACCACGTTGTTGACGTCCAACTTGATCACCAGGGCATCTTGGTGTGGTAGGGGACCATCCGGCAGGTCGTCATCGGTGAAGGTGATGGGTTCCCTTCGTAGCTTCTTCTCCCGTGGGGCTTGTGTCACCTCCCCAACGTACAGACTCCTCGCCCACTTCTTCCGTTCGGCTTGGGTGTCGCCACCCTCGAGTCCTCCAAAAATGACATAAATGGACTGCTTGTTTGGGGGCTGGGAGTCTTCTGTCGTCTTGTCGTCCTCTTCAGAGCTTTGGTCGTGCTCTCTCTTGCGGGGTGCCGGGTTGGGTGGCGCGGAGCCACCGCTCCATTTCTTCCATACGTTATCCCGGCCCTAGCCTTGGGGTTGGCTGGGCCGTTTAATGAAGTGGCCCAGGTAACCCATCTGGATGAGCTCCTCAATTTGCTTCTTCAGGAGGATGCACTCATCCGTGTCGTGACCCTTTTGGCGATGGAACCGGCAGTACTTCTTGGGGTTGCCCTTCGCCGAGATCTTCATGCACACCTCCTTTGGAAACTCGACGATCCCCTGGTCCTCCGTGTGGGCGAGGATGACACTCACGGGGTGAGTCAGCGGGGTAAGGAAACGTGTGGGGTTCAGCCTGGGCCCCTCGGCGTAGTCGCGACGATGCTGCCGAGATGCCCTGCTGCGTTCCTCCTGGGGGGCCTTGTCCTTCCGACCTCTCCCTTCTTCCTGCTCCCTTTTTCTCTTCTCGGCAGCTTCGGCGTCAGCATATCTGGCCGCCCTGTCCATCAGGTCGGCATAGTTCTTCGGAGGGTACCGGATGAGATCCTGGTGGAAAGCACCCGACCTCACATTGTTCCTGAAAATTGGTATAGCCGACTTACCATCGAAGTTGGCGACTCCCATGACTTCTTTCTTCCACTTATTGAGATACTCGGCTAATGACTCCGAGCTCTTCTGTTTCAGGTCGCACAGGTCGGCAATCTGCTACTTCCTGGGTATGTTGGTGGCGAAGTGGGACAGGAACTGCCTGGTTAGATCCTTGAAGGTGGAGATGGATCCCCCTGGGAGGGACCCGAACCAGTCATGTGCCTGCTCGTCCAGAGTGGCAAAGAATCCCCTGCACAGGATGTCGTCGGTAGCCTCGGTAATCATCATGGCGGCCCTGTACCTGGTGAGGTGCGACCGTGGGTCTGTGGTCCCCGAGTACGCTTTGACGGTGGGGAAACGGAAATCCTTGGGCAAGGGTTCCTCCATGATAGAACTCACGAACGGGGTGGACAGTATGTCATTGGACTCTGAGGACCCGTCCCTTTCATCGAACTTCTTCTGGAGCTCGTCCATCCTTCTCCGTAACTGCTCGACCTCGTCCCGGTTGGAGCTCGGGACTCGGCCATTTGTCTCACCCGTCCGCTCCACCCGGGCGGGATGTCCGCGTTGCGGGGAGCTCGGGTTTCACGGTCTGGGGATCTACGCGAGCCCGCCCCCTGCTGTGGCCAGGTTCGGGGTTCGCGACTTGGCGACCTCCGAGTGGCCGACGCTTGTCGTGGCGGCCTGCGGGAGCACGACTCGGCCGCTGGTGGGTCGTTGGCGGCCGGCCTCGGACCCAGCCTGTCCCGTGCCGACACGCGCTCGCCCAACCGTTCCAGGGCGGGCCTGGTTTGGGTTGGGGCCCTTCCATCATCACCGTGCGGACGGTCTCGGCGGGAGCTCCCTCCTCCTTGTCTGTCCGTCGGGCGGGGGGAGTTGACTTCCCCTTGTGTGGCCCGTGCCGGAGGTGGCACGGCGCTCGGCCCGCTGCGCCCCCGGGAGAGAGGTGGAGGCGGTATGGCGCTCGGCGGCACGCCCCCTTGGGTGGCGCCTAGGTCGGCTTGTTCCTCTGCCCGGAGGCCCGTCGCAACACGGGCCAGTGCCGTGGAGGCTTGTTCGAAGACCGCCACCCCCTCCTGGATGAGGGCGCGAGCTGGAGCGGTAGCGGGAGCCGTAGCAGCGAGAGTCACGGGGGGTGGTGCACCACTGCTGCGGTGGTTGGTGAGCTGGGCCCTCAGGTCTCCTCCCGACCTGTTGGAGGCGACCGGTTGGACGCTGGGGGCCCTGTTGGGGCCGTTCCCGTTTGCGACGAGCTGGGTGCCGCGGGAACCGTTGGTGTGGCGAGAGTTGGATCTCGATCTCGTCATCGCTGTGGATGAATGATAATGGGGAGAGCGCTCAAGCTTGTACAGCAGCTCTCAACAAGAGCACCAATGATTGATTTAATTCCCGGGGGTAGCCCGAATTATTAAACCCGGATAAGTATACGTACGAAATAAATAATACGACGCAGAGGTATAATAAGGTCGCGGGGACCGTATATTGTATTAATTATCGCTAATAAGCTATTACAAGGCTTGATTAGGACAATAAGGCTAGAAGATAGCAATTCAGGAATCTATTGTGTTATGTGTCCTGTCCCTCTTTAGGACAAGAGGGAGTCCTTTTATATCAGCTCAAACCCCCTAACCGCACCCCTAGGATCGGGGTTAGTTGGATCGGCCCGCTTTGACCGCGTCCTCTCCGGGACCGGGTCCAAGGCAGGCCGACTCGGCACGGCCGAGCTGGGCACGTGCCAAGCTCGGCCTAGCCGAGTCCACTATGGACCGGCTCGGCAGTGGCCGAGTCCATGGTGATGGACTCGGGTGTACCGAGCCCATCTATGGCCGACTCGGCCACGGCCAATTGACTAGGCCGAGGGGCTTCTCGGGTCCGTCTCTCCGGGTCGGTTCGATCCGGGTCCAATATATCCATCAGTTGGATTGCGATAACTCCCATCTCTAGTTCTTTCTTTATTAAAAAGATTTCTGCTTTATATTTCTTATGCTTTTTAGGTGAATGGCATTTTTAGTTAGGATCATTAATTGATTATACCTTTATCATTTCAATAGATACTACCCCTTCATTTCCCATCTATAGAGGTCATTGCTACTGATATTTGACAAGTTTTTGATAATTTTACTTCACATTAATCTTTAGATCTAGGATTATGTAGGCACATAGGCTATTGCTTTAAAGTGTAGTTTAGGAAGTGTTGAAGCCTTAATAATGAACTGTCTGGTTTTCAGCCCTAAAGAAAACAAGGCTGTGTGTTGCGTTTCCAGTTTTCCATTGTGTCACTGATATTGTTAAAAGTTTGATGAGTTTTGCATGTTGAAACCCTTGGCAGTTGGAAGAGTTGAGGTTGAAACATGGGCAAGCGGAAATCAAGGGCAAAGCCACCTCCCAAGAAGAGAAATGATAAACTCGACACTGTTTTCAACTGTCCCTTCTGCAGTCATGGAACTAGCGTGGAATGCCGCATGTAAGCAATCTTTTAAGCCTATTTCTCCCACTATGTGGTTTTGAACCAACTGAGCATTGTTGTTCTGTATACTTGAAATGCCAAAGCTATATACAACTTCCACACCCCACCTACCCTGTCGAGCACTAACATACCCAAGAAACGAGCCCGCTTAGTACTCATTCACATTGTTGTTTGGTTTTAGTGACATGAAGAACTTGATTGGTGAAGCTGTGTGCAACATCTGCCAAGAGAGCTTTAGTATCACCGTAACAGGTTAATAATCTCTCTCTCTCTCTCTCTCTCTCTCTCTCTCTCGCTCTCGCTCTATATTCTTCGTTTGAATGTATTAAACCTCTGAAATGATCTCGTTTTCTTCTCTTTTCTTTGATGCAGCTTTAACTCAGCCAATAGACATGTAAGTCGATGAAGCATTTGCTCCATCTTCTACGCTACTACTCTGCAGTTAAGCTACTTCTTGACTCACAACGTATTGACATTTGTATATGCAGATATAGCGAATGGATCGACGAATGTGAGCGTGTGAACAACCCTGAGGCTGAGGGTGATGAGTGAAGGAAGAATGTTGTTAGCAATACTAGTAGTATGTGACTCGTGTCTGTAGCAATAGTTGTGGATGTACATTATTAGTATAGTCATTGAATAAAGGGGGGAAATGACATTTTGCTCCCTGTGTTGTACTTCTAGTGTAAACTCAGCTAGCTCCTATATTCCTCCTAATGAAAAAGTGTTTGGAAATCCTCTAATTTTGCAAGCTTAGTTTTGTCATTTAAGCATAAATATGGTTTTTACACATTCCTTCACTTGATCCATAATTGAAAAATAGGGCCAAAATCAAAGTTATTAATTTTAGACTATTTAAATATTTAAGTCACACCTATGTATATATTGTACAGCTGAAATTAGGCCAGCCACCTTCTTGGTATGTCCAAGTGCAATGTTAATAGCTTAATTGTTATTGCCGTATAACCTTGAATCATCAGTTTTATGGATGATATATTATAAAAATGAATAAAAATCTTCTGCATAAAATATGTCAATTCCATTAGTTCGAGTTGGAGTTGGAGTTGGTACGATCTCGCTGGTTGGAGTTGGAGTTGGTACGATCTCGCTGGATGGAGTTGGAGTTGGTACGATCTCGCTGGTTGGAGTTGGATTTGGGACAATATCACCGATTGGAGTTGGAGTTGAGGCAATCTCACCAATCGGAGTTGGAGTTGGGGCAATCTCGCTGGTTGGAGTTGGAATTGGGACGATCTCATTGATTGGAGTTGGAGTTAGGACAATATCGCCAATTAGAGTTGGGACAATCTCAACGGTTGGAATTGGAATTGGAAAAACTTCACCAACACAAGCAAATGGAGATCTACTTTCATCAAATATTCCATGAAAGTTGGTGCAATCGGCAGTAGTAGGTCTTCCACGCTTATGGCTTATGTCTAAACCTACTAACACAATATCATCACAGGGCAGAAACGAGCTACAATCGAGAGTGACAGCTACCTTATTAGAGGAAGTACCCCTAAAGTTGATGAACTTAACATTTGAAATTTCGACTCTTGATTCTCCCTACATCCACAACAATTTTAAGTTCGCACATTAAATTAATTATACTATCAAGCAAGATATCTCAATTAAAGATACAATAAAGTTAGAAGTGAGTTTGAAAACATGTGAAAAATAGAATTTGTACCATAGACCTGCAATGAGAGTTGGGGCAATAGTGCTGATCGATTAAAATTGAATTGCTAACATTATTCAAAATGATATCTTGAAAAATAAGATTGAAGACCCTTGAAGAAAAAGAAGGAGCCCATGTTTTGATCCTAACTCCATTTTTGGTGTTTGTGAAAGTGCAATTCTTCACAACAATCCCACTCACATCTTCTTCATTTTCATGTTGTCCTAAGCTTCCAATACTAATGCCATGACCAGGACCACATGTGACATTGTGGATGTCAATATTTGTACTTCCTTTGCTCAAGGAGATGCAATCATCGCCTGTCCCAATGTTCGTATTGACGATAGTTATATCCTTTGACCGGGAGATATGGATTCCGTCCGTATTGGGGCTATTGTGCGGAGCTTGTATTCTCACGTTCTTGATTAGAATAGAGTCACTCTTTCTTATCGTAATGTGAAAAAACTTACTATTTTTAGAGACTATGCCTTGAATCAATGCATTTGAGATATTCTTCAAGCTTATAGACTATATAAACAAAGATTAAGAAGAAAAAAAAAAAGTTAAAACACAACAAATGTTATACATATATATACTATAATCATGGTTGCAAATATCGCGCCTAGGCGCTAGGCGCCCGGCCGCCGCCGCGAAGGCGGTTTGGTCCACTAATTTCTCAAAAAAATGCTTCTTTAGCTCTTAATTTTAGTTTTTTTATGTATTTAGATGGTTTAAACAATCTTTTGAACACTTTTACAACCACTTTCGTAAATAGTTTCTAAGAAATAACTATGGAAACCTTATGTTTTATTACTAAATTTTAAAAATTTTTAATTTTTAATTTTAATTTTAATTAAAAAAAAATTAAAAAAAAAAATCGGCACCTAGGCGCCCCCTTGCCGCCTAGGGGGCGCCTAACGTGTTTTGCAACATTGACTGTAATTAAAAATGTTATATGTATACGTACAATTGGAAGAGATATGCAGTGAAGTTTACGTTTGCATTCATTTAGAAGCCACGCAGATTCACCTCGGCCATCAAAAGAGCCCTTCCCAACAATGGACAAACCTAGGATGTTAGAGAACAACACCCAATGTTTGGAATGTTTCATGACTGAAACGTTGGTCGGGGCCTTCAAATTGCCATTAAGTATAAATCTTGTTGAACCCTTGCATGGTCCAGCTAATTTCACCTTATTCAACAAGAACGTTCCTTTCGGGATCAAAACTACGCCGTTTTCAGCATCGCATGCTTCACTCCATGCCTTTAGCAATGCCTAAATACATAACGAAACATTCTTAAAAAGTTTCACGAAATTTCTTTGAAACATTTTATATTACCTTAGTTATATCAAGTGCTCCTCCAGATATGCTATGAAATGAAGTGACATCAAAGACATTATCTTGAATATGGATTGAACAAACCCGAAGTAGAAGGATAACAAGGATAGAAAAGGTAGAAAAGACTAAAGAGGATGTCATTTTTCTAGCTCTTTATGCAATGTTTTTCTTTTGTTGGATCAGTTGAATAACTGTACATGCTTTAAGTTCTTAGACAATTACTTAATATAATTCATCAGATAGCATTGAATAAACTTAGTAATGTGAAAAATTTAAGATGTATATTTAACTAAAGTAACCGTATATATAATAAAAAGTTTATACACCATAGTTAATTGTGCAAACTTTTAATGTGCTTTATTTATATTAGTTTTAATTTGCTCAAAAATTACGTTATGAGCATTTAAAATCTTTCTTAAACCTATCCAAAAAGTTATACATTTTTCCGTTACTGATCATACTTTAGGGAATTAAATAATTAAAATTAGGGCTATTAATTTCTAGTCAAGAGTTTTTATTACTGTAATGCACGCACATCCATATATTGCTGTGTAGTTCTAAAAAATAAAATAAAATAGGAAATTGTATTTTTGGTCTTTATTCCGTAAGAATATCTAGCGCATATTCAATTTTTTGGTGATTTGAATTGTAGATTTGATTCTTTAATTTTTTATTATAATTAATAAAGTGGTGTTTTTAGCTTGATAAACACGGTTAACTCTTGATGATTTTATGTGGAGTAAAGGTTTAAAAAAAAAAAAAAAAAAAAAAAAAAAAAAACCTAATGGGATATGAGCCCAAAGATCGGAAGAATGACGATGCCAGACGGAATAACAAGGAAGACGGAACGAGATGTTGGGCTGGTAGGAGACATTGGAGAACGGGTCAGTCCGAGAAGGTAGAGAATGGCTAAAGGTGAGGCAATTCAATATGAGTAGTGTAGCCAATTAAGAAGTGATCAGACCAATCCAGAAGGAGTCAGATCAATCGAGGAGTCAGTTGGGTTACATCAATTACCCGGCTGGGTGAAGAAGACGAACGACCCTTCGACGCAGTTGTAACCGAACGAATGAATGAGCAAGCAGACGAAGGTAAGTGGAGGGAGGAGCTAGGCAGAATGAACCGAGTGAATGCAGGGACCAGGCAGACGGAGTCGAGTGGATGGGGGAGCTAGGCAGAAGGAACTGAGCGAATGCAGGGATCAAGCAGACGGAGCCGAGTGGATGGAGGAGTTAGGCAGAAGGAACCGAGCGGACCAGGCAAACAAAGCCGAGTAGTGGAAGGAGTTAAGAGAGCAGAAAAGGAAGAATCCAAGTGATCGAAGGTGTTGGACCGTTAATGAGCAATTAAAGACGAGTTAGTGGCAATGATGAGGCAGACCGTTGAGAGAGATGATGAGCTACTACTGATTAATTCTCATTTATAGCCATTATTAACCTTAATTAGTTCATTTAATGTATTAATGAGTGGCCGAGTGCAACGGTACATGTATAAAAGGTTTGCGAAGACACTATAAAAGGGGTTAAGCATTCTAAACATACACACGAGAGTTTAAGAGCATTTTGGCATTTATCGGTTGTGTTGGCCCATCGGTAATCTGCCCTGAAAGTCTAAAAACCAATAAAACCCTCTAATTATATACCATGTAGTGTGATAATATCTCGGTTACCATTCTAAATGGGTGGTGGTCATAGGTTTGAACTTCAGTGATGGGGGACTTAGATATTTTGGGCTGAAAATGTTTGAGAAAGTATAGCACAGATATTACGTTATTTAAAAAAAATATAATTCAATTAGACTCTGGAATTTTTATTTTTTATTTTAAAAATTCAATTGAACTCTTTTTTTTTTTTTTTAAATTCAATTGATGAACTCTTAAATTAATTAAAATTGGCCAAGGACCTTGTAGTCAAATGACACCAAGTTGCTCCTTTATAAAGGATGTTGTGGGATTGAGCATCCGATATTTGACTCTTTGTGCTACGATACTATGTTGTAATAGAGTTAGATTCAAAAAAAAAAAAAATTAAAATTGTACAATAGCTGACAACAAAATCAAGCATCAACCAAAACCATGTATTTCACAACCAAAAACACTGTAATACTGTATACATTTGTACTATCAAAATGCTCTAACTTGAAACTTAATGTTGTATAACTCACGTAGGCAAAAAAAATAATAATAATAAATAATAAATAAAAAATAATAAATAAAACTTACCAGCTCTGTCATGACTCGAATCAACCTCATTTCCTTAGGAATTCATGATTTTTGTCACTATAAAGATCTGCCATAGGCCCATAGTAGAGATTGTAAAGATAAAAGAAGGTTTTGAGAATTATTTTAACTATGAATTTTGATTTGCTTTGAATTAGATAAAATTTAAAAATTATTCCAAAAAAAAAAAAAAGAAGATAAAATTTAAAAATGAATGAGCTTAATTCATGAGTGAAGGGACTAGAGTTCGAGCCCCAGTCCAAACATTATTGGAGTTGGACTCTCCAGAACTATTGCAAAAATAATGGGGATTCTGGTTTGGACGATGCTGCGATTACCAAAATGCCCAAATCTGTCCTGCGGATAATTTTGCAGACACGTCTTCTCCCCTCGCCTTCACCACACTCACATGCGGGAAAGCATATGTATATGCACATCTTGAATGAATGAATGAATAGAAGTCACTGGATTCTTTGTTCAATTTTGACGACATCAACTCTTGGCATATATGTTCGTAATAGAGAATTGAGAAAGATTGTGATATTGGACGCTCCTCCGGCTTTCACTTAATTTCCTCAACAATTCTACGGAACGATGCGGCTTTTACTACGGAGAAGCGCGGTGGTAATTGGAAATGACAACGGTGGATTGCGGATGATGTTAGGGTTTAGGAGAGGTATGGCGACGAGCTGCAGGGCGGTGCTTCTGCCGCGATTCGGCGACCCCGACGTGCTTCAGCTTCGTGACAATGTCAGCGTTCCTGATCTCAAACCCAATCAAGTGCTCGTTCGCACTCGCGCTGTCTCTATCAACCCCCTTGACACCAGAGTCAGTTCAATCTCCCACTCATTTTCTACTTCCATACTTTAATTTATTGTAATTTGTGAGAAAACGGTTGCCTGCTTGTCTGAATTGTTTCACACTTTCAAAGTTCGCGTTCAGCAGAGATGCAAATGTGTTTTGTTTGACTAATGGCAGCTGAATTGAGCTGTGTGAAATTGAATTCTGGCTTTGTGATTCGGGTTTCTTAGAAGTCATTTATACTTGCATATATTGTTATCTCACTTAAATGTAATTATCATCTGTTTGTCCATGCATATTTCTAAACATCCTGATGGTCTTAAGTAGTAGCATCTTTGATCTTGTCTGGTTACCTGCTGAAGTGATAATGATATTAAATGATATGATGAAATGCTTGATATATTCCTGCATCGCGTTTTGTTATTACACTGATCGCTTTAAACCAACTCAAGCTTGTTCCTGGAATTTTTACATTTCCATTTCAAGTTTGAGATATATTGTAGTTTTTTTTTTTTTCAGATGCGATCAGGGTATGGCCGTTCAATATTTGAACCACTTCTGCCATTGATTCTGGGACGTGATATCAGTGGTGAAGTTGCGGCTGTTGGAAGTTCTGTCAGATCTGTAGGTGTTGGGCAAGAAGTATTCGGTGCTCTGCATCCAACTGCTGTGAGGGGTACTTACACTGACTATGCTATTCTTGATGAAGATGAACTTGCTCCCAAACCAGCCTCACTTTCGCATGTGGTATGTCTTCAGTGTGAGAGAGTGCATATATGGGATAACTATCTTCTCATGAATTAAACATAACCTTTTTGTACTCTGAGCACATATATCTCTTTTGTTTCTCATTACAAGTTCACTTCATTTCTTATTTCTATTTTTTCCACTCCCAGCCATGTGTGGTACAAATGTGGGTAATCATTGTAATTTTAAGTTGTCCGTCTATAGGAAACTCATTAAAAATTGAATGCAAGCATTTCACATGCATATTTATTTCTCTCTTCCTCACTTAGCTTAGTTTGAGATTGTTGATAATGGGAACTGTTTAGCTTAGAGGCTACTCCTCTCTACCTAGCTTATAGTACTTGTATGATTTTTCAATATATTGTGTCTAAAATGTCCCCCTTGCTGTTGGTTGGATTTACTTTAATCTGCATTATTGATGATTTCTTCATCTCTTTCTTACTTTCTTTTCATGCTAGTGATTATAGCTTAATGAATATCCTTTGATTTTCCCACAGGAAGCTAGTGCTATTCCTTTTGCTGCTCTAACTGCTTGGCGTGCCCTAAAAAGTACTGCAAGGATTAAGGAGGGGTATGGTTTTTGTGTGATGCATTATTTCTACCTTTTATAAAATATAAAATATGAATATAAATAAATTTGAATATCTTCATAAATTTTACTCAACCATGCATATCACTTGGTAGTTGAAATCAATTTTAGATGCAGTTCTTTTAGTGGTGTGGCAATCATTTATTTCTATGTAGCGTTCTGTTTCTGTATTTTTTTAAACTGACTTTGCTAAAATGCCTCATACATATTATGTTCTGGTTTACATCTTTGGCATTCATAATTAGTCTTGATTGGAAATAGAAGCAGCTTTCATTCCCTAGGGTTTACTATCAAAGTCTGGAATTCAATAAATGGAGCAGGATAATGCATTCAGTGTACTGACTTTATTGCTTTTTCATACAAATATTTGAAGGCAAAGGGTCTTGGTGGTGGGTGGAGGAGGAGCTGTGGGGTTTTCTGCAATTCAACTTTCAGTTGCTGCAGGCTGTCATGTTTCTACCACGTGTGGAGGTGAGAGTGTAGATCGCATTTTGGCTGCTGGTGCTGAGCAGGCAGTTGATTATACCACTGAGGTACACAGCGGTGATTGTGATGTGGATGGTTCTCCATATATGACGCAGAACGAATAATGAAAGGGAACAGAAAGAAACTTTAACAGAATTGATAAACTTCAGTAGAATTCAAATACCTTCAAAAGCTTTTTTTCCTACAAGCATGTTCTGGCTTAAATAGATACTAAGCAAAATGGGGAATACAAAATATTAAATGCATGGTGGCAGGAAAGAAAAGAAAACCAAAGGGAAATGCAGATAAAGAGACATAATT